AAGCAAATGGAGCATAAGAGCCCCCTGGTGGCTGAAGAAAAAAATCCACGTATAAGCCGCACCGGACTATAAGCCGCATAGTTCAAAGTTCAGGAAAAAATTCACGGCTTATAGTCCGAAAAATACGGTACTTACATTAAATCACGGTTTTCAAACACAAATATCAGCAGCAACAGCTAGCTGTAGCACTTCCTGCAGGAATCTTTGCATTTCTGACTAAATGAGAAACCGACAGTTGTGTAAAGGTTTATAAAGTCATTTTAGCAATCAGCAACCCACTTCAACCATGGCTGCATACAGACTAGCCATTAGCTCATCAGTCCTGTCTGAAATAAACGTAACTTCTACAACATGAGGTTGTTCAAACAGCCATCTATAACAGGTAAGATACTGCTTCTTCTAAACTTTTACATAGAAACCCTCTTCAGAATGACCTGAATATTCCTTTAAGACATGAAACATGAGAGATGAAGAAATTACGTGTGATCGTTTCCACGTTCTCATCTCCAATAGTTCTCCCATTGAAGTTTTATCTCAGCTAAAATGATCAGGATAACTACAGTAGTTGTTTTAATGAACACAATTATAAAAGACACCTGTCTTTATCATGTTGAAGGGCAGTAAGATGAATTTTAAAAGGTAAAGTTGTGATTTTCTTCCATCCAAACCCTTAAAATCCAGCCATCTCTTCAGCTTATTCAGACTTTTATTTCCTACATTTGCAGTAGGTTCTCATTTAAACTGGTGAAATAATTTCACAAGCTGTGGGCCTGGAGGAGATCAGCCCAACTTAATGATATTAAAACCTGACTTACGTGTACCAGGTGCCTTCAGGTGCCGCGTCTTTGAGGTTGGCACCTGTGAGTCCAGAGCAAGGCATAAAATGGATGTCCTTCTTCGGGTTGAAGCCCACCTTCTTTAAAAACGGCACCAGCTTCTCCTTACACTCTTCATATCTATGAGAAGGTAACCAAATATTCTGAATCCACAAATAAGAATTCAAACACAAATAAAACCTTCTTTTTTTTAAATCTGACCTTTCTAAGCTCCAGTTCACAGTGGGGTCATCCATCTTGTTGATCAGGACGATGAGATGTTTAACTCCGGCTGTTTTAGCCAGCATGGTGTGTTCCCGCGTCTGTCCACCCTTCTCAAAGCCCGTCTCAAACTCCCCCTTCCTTGCTGAAATGACCTGAATAAGATCAGAAAAAGACTTTTCTGTTTAGATACACYACAATAAGACATTTATTAAAGAAGGCATATGCTTTTAAATCCTTCTTTTTCACTTCAGACTCATTCAGTTGGGTTTATATAAAGAGGAGCTTCYATACTTTGGGCTGAATTCCACCTTAATGTAACTCTACAAGCCCCTTTCTCACATGTTCTGAGGTGTGTCTCAACGCAGCTCATTTTGGCYCAGCCCTTCAGCTTCCAGACTGGTTCATTTTAGTCCGACAGCAGAGATACGACGACTTTTTATTTTACTATTTAATTAAAAAGATGTCAACAATGAAAGACGTGTTCAAAATGAAGTTGACTAAGTCCAGACCTTACAAGGCAGGTCTGTCACAAATAATTTGACAAAATTGTTCAGAAAACATCATGGAAAATAGCGAAAACMGAACGAGTTAAAAAGCACTTATAAACAGAACTGCGATGAAAATAAATCAATAAATGCATAAATAAATAATAAAACCGGACAATAAAAACCACAATGGCTTTTATTTCTTTTTTACCACAACGAGAGAAGCTGCGTGCCGACAATCCGCCCACAGAGTGAGGGACACACTGACATGGAGACACACCAGGACTGAGTGAGACTCGACAACGGAGAGGAGGCTTTGGTATTTCTGCTGTGGGCCTCACCAGAACTGCAAGGTCAGCTTGGGACGCCCCACCGATCATGTTGGGGACAAAGCTCTTGTGTCCGGGGGCYTCCAGGATGGTAAAATGTTTCTTCTCCGTCTCAAAGTAAGCTCTCCCAACCTCCACCGTCTTCCCCTTGTCCCTCTCCTCCTGATTTGTGTCCAAAGCCCACGATAAATACCTACGGCGACAATTGTGTTAATTTTTCCCAAAACGTGCGGCGAAGGCGAACAGAACCCCGTCACGGCTTCCTCACCAAGTCTCTCTGTTCTTCTCTTTTGCTTCTCGCTCGTATTTTTCCAGGGTTCGCTTGTCRACCATTCCAGTGAGGTACCTAACAAAAACACAGCACAAAGAKAACTTTCAAATTAGGGTTCCTACCGTTTAAAGAAAGTTAAATTTAAGACTTTTTAATGCCAAGCGAAATTAAATTTAAGACCKATTTCATAAACACAAATGACAAAAAAATAAAAAATAAAAACTGGCAGAAACTCATGAATCAAAGTACTTTTGGTTGAAGTATTCAAATATTGTTAATAGACCAACTGTTTTTA